ACACACACACACACACACACACACACACACACACACACACACACACACACAGTGAGAACCACAGGCCATGCTTTAGAGAACATCCTGGGACTAGGACCGAAGGGGCAATGATAATTTACCCCCCCCCGAGTTAAAAAACCCCAACAAACTACACACAGCTCTATGAGCCCCACAAAAGAATCATTTTTTAGCGAGAGTTTTATGGCACTTTTAATACAGATAGGTCATATAAATACTGAAGATTATAGGTGTTACTAGAGAGTAACATACAAAAGAAAGAAGAGAGATAATGTGACTCTCTCTCTCTCTCACACACACACACAAACACACACACACACACACTGACCGTGGCCCGTATGGTCAGCGTCCGGTGCCCCAGTGACCAGCAGACACACACACACACACACACTTACACCCCTCACATACACTGACCGTGGCCCGTATGATCTGTGTCCGGAGCCCCAGTGACCAGCAGACACACACACCCACCCACTGACCGTGGCCCGTGAGATCAGCGTCCCGTGCCCCAGTGACCAGTACACACACACACACGCACCCACACACACACACGCACCCACACACACCCACTGACAGTGGCCCGTATGGTCAGCGTCCGGCGCCCCAGTGACCAGCAGACACACACACACCCACTGACCGTGGCCCGTATGGTCAGCGTCCGGCGCCCCAGTGACCAGCAGACACACACACACAAACACACACACTGACTGTGGCCCGTATGGTCAGCGCCCGGCGCCCCAGTGACCAGCAGACACACACACACACTGACCGTGGCCCGTATGGTCAGCGTCCGGCGCCCCAGTGACCAGCAGATAAGCGTTGAGCTCCTGTAGCTCCTGGTGCAGCTCCGACAGTTTGCTGTTGGCTTTCTTCACGATGCTGCTCACATTCTGTAGCGTCTTCTTGTCCGACGACGCCTCTCGCAGCTTCTCCGCTCCCTCCTGGGGGAACACACACACACACACACGTTAGTACACACACACACGTTAGTACACACACATAACCACATACACACATAGTTTCTCCACTCCCTCCTGGGGGAACACACACACAAACACACACGTCAGCACACACACGCACACACAGTAGTATACACATAAACACAAACACATTACTACACATAAAAAACACAAATACAACACACACAAGAAAACTCCCACAAATCATTAAACACATAAAAACATACTTCAGTAAACACCCAAGTTGTAGCACACATAAAACACACATCATTACACACAGGCACACGTCTGTTGTACACACACAAACATGTGTCCCACACACTATAGAAATAATCATTATACATGGGGAAACACAAGTAAACAGTGACTCTATTTCCCACATACTTACAATTATACATTGTCAAAACTCACATACACACCCACCAGTACACACACATACACACCCACCAGTACACACACATACACACCCACCAGTACACACAACAGTGACTCTATTTTCCACATACTTACACACACATACACACCCACCAGTACACACACATACACACCCACCAGTACACACACATACACACCCACCAGTACACACAACAGTGACCCTATTTCCCACATACTTACAATTATACGTTGTCAAAACTCACATACACACCCACCAGTACACACACAGACACATATACAGTACACACACACCTTAATCTTCATCTCTTTCCGTATCTCCTTCTTGAGGTACTCCTTGATCTCCTCCAGTCGTTGTTGCATGTCAGCCTCAGAGATGTCCCCCTCTAGCCCCAGACGCTGGCTCAGCTCCTGGTACGAGTTGTTGCCGGCACCTCCCTGTGGGGGTAGTTTTAGTAAGTATTTTAAGGCACTTGCAACACAATAAGGTCATATAAGTGCCCAGGATTAGAGGTGTTACAAAAGAGTAACAAAAAAAAAAAAGGAGGGGAGATTTGGACGACAGATGTTTGATAGGAAAGAAGAAGCAAACCACACCAGAGCACCCGCCAACCACCCACTGTGACAAACAGACCTGTTAGTTCTTTTGTCAGTTTGTTTACCGCGCATGAATCACAATTATATATACCAGAATTATAATTTTTTAAAAATAATAATGATGATGATGATACGTAGAAAAAAAGAAACAGAGAGAGAGAGA